AACTGCGGGGAATCATGCAAAAAACGCATCTTCGCACGGGCAGCCCGTGCGTTGGCCAATTATTTTGATTCTTTTTGTTGGTAATTTGGTGTTACTGCGGGCAGTGAGCTGCCTTAAGTTTGCTCCTCATGGACCACTCAGCAGGTAAAACCGTTGTTTGTGGATGCTTGCTCTTGGCAATGTGCTAGCTACTCGGGGCACTTCAAAGTGCCTCGACCTTGCATAGAAAGTGCAATAAAAGGGGGAATTTCATCAGTGAGATGAATTATTTGATCGATTTGTTTATGCATGCTTTTGTTGTTCCAAAAAGATGGTTATCACTACCTGTTTCAGGGTCTTCTTTTTCGGGTCATTTTATGAGTCACTGTCGACGTTTGGTGCGTTTGCTATGGCATAGTTGTGGCCACCTGTATAAGAATCACTGGGAACAGCTGAGTACGCTCAATTTACGATCACAGTACAGTTTGGTTGTAGCACATATGCACTGCATCGCCAAAATGTATGATCTTCTTGACAACAAGGAGCTCTCAGCGCTTTCTCACACTTTACAGGTAAACTTGTTCCTGAATCGATAAATTCCAGCGTTTCGGATTTTGACATAAAACTTGTGCCCAGTCATAATGGTTCATGAATTGGAATAGTGCGAAAGCGGTGTATTACTGTTTAAGAGTCGTGGATTATCAGTTCAGGGCTGGACGAAAAGCAGAGGGGAACTGGAAGGATTTGTCGATTTGTAATAATTGCTTAGATTTTTTTTTAATGCGGATTCTGTCAGATCGTAGATTCAAAAGTTTGTTGGCTTATATTTTTCACGTATTTCACTAATTCATGCTACTGCCAGTAAATGTTTGCATAGGCTTTGAGAGGTTGTATTTTGGCGTGGTTTGATGGGTCTATGAGACAACATGCTCCTGTTAGCTCTTTATGTGTATTTATGTAAAATACAAACAAACACATAAGTGAAACAAAAAGTGGGGTTGGGGCATCTCCACTTAGTGGTTGACATGCGGTGCACGGCATGCATGGTTCCGCCCACCTGATGAGGGAATATGACCAGGAGAGGCTGACGTTCTGATGAAGACATTGAGAAGAATCTGTTAGGAAGAGAACACGTTGTGATGAAGCTGTTGTGAAGAGCAAATATTGTGAAGAAGCTGCTCTGAAGGGAATGCTTCAAGTAAGAGAATGTGACACCCTTATATAGGTCGAAAAGATGCGGGAGGTGGGGGGATACCGTTGGTCGCGTTATACCGGAAGATCGGAACACAGCTGCGCTCTTGTGCATCGGCTGGATGCCCGTGAACAAGGGGTTCGTTGGAAAAAGTGTGAAAAATAAACGAAAAGGATGATTGACAGGCGGGATAAAGGAGAGGGGATGAGTGTCGAAAGATAGTGATAAACAGGAGTAGTAAATAGGTTTTGTTTTTAATGTGGCGCAACTCTAAAATAGCTGCATTTATACTTGTAGCTGTTTTACAAACTGTCGTTGATTCATTCAAATGGGCGGAAACAGTGCATCGATAAGACCCGGCCTGGCACTGCTCAAGAGACAGAGTGAGAGAGATGTCTTTGTAGTGTCCAGTTAAAGCAAAGTCACAGTTATCTCTACGGTGTTTGCGTACAGTAACACTGTCGGCTTCATGTAACATGGTCTCTCGCCGGCTTCTTCACATGTATTAGTTTCGATATTCTTTTTCCCTCATTTCTCTCATCGCTTCGCGCTGTATTGTTACTGTGCCTCGGTGGTTTCAGCTGGTACGACCGGCTGGTCTCTATCACGGTTGTGGACATCAGGTGACGCAGTTCGGTGACGGTTTGGATGCAGCGCAGCAGTACGCATCGTTCAAAAGTGGTAGCTGGGGTGGCCACGCAACAGCACCAGCTCATCTCATGTGTAAGCCTTACTCGCAAACATGTTGATATTACTATTGCACTACTGATATTATCATGAACCATTGATATTATCATTGAAGCTTTCCAGATTTTTCTGTATTTGCATTTGTCTGTGATACTAGCTATGCTGCAGGATATTATCATTGGATTTTTTTCTGACACTGTTTTATTTCTTCTTCGAGCTGTGATATTTACTCACTGGCAGCTAGTGTTTCTTCTCAAGCCAAATCACATTTTGTAATAGTTTGTATGTAGCTGTAAAAATATGCTTTTGCCGATTGGTGTTTAGCCAGTGCGTTAAAGAAGATACTTGGTTTTTCGGTAAAGGGTGACTAGTTTTGTAAAGTATCTATCAATCACAAACGGACTGGTCGATTTACTGTGCTATATGTATGTATATGATCGGTGGATGATACAGACAGAGGTCGATTTTCAAATATTCACTCGAATACATTCACGATTGGCGACCGGTTTTTCACTGGTTTTCTGTAATTGTGGTGTCTTAAAGTGATTAAAAACTCACCAGGGAAATTAAGTTTTCCCCTTCTTAACACTCGTTGAGCAGTACGCGCAAAATTCGGTTTGCCGGCCAATAATTTTTAAACATTATTTCCCGACCTGAGTATCACTGTGATGTAAGATACCCAAAATTTATTATTTATGTCATTCTGTAAAATTCTCAGCATAATCATACACTTGCTCAATTCAGACTAGGGAATTTCTTCCCTTACATCTGTGGGCAGTCGTTACAGTACTTACCTTTCCAAAAACATCAAATGTGGATAAGGCACAGCAATGTTTAAGTTTTGAGAAGCGAAACACGATGTGTCCGTAAAAATTCTCCAACTGTCTCAGGGCAAGGTTTTAAACAAACTAAACTTTTTTGGTTTAAGGCATGAAAAAAAAAAAAA